AGTATCAATTTTGAGTAAACTAGCGTCCTTAAATTTCGAAATATACCTTTACATGAAAAGTGGACGTAATCTTAGTCCGATTTCAAAAACGCTCTTATGCGGTAAGTAAAATAATTATATAGAGTTTGGTGCAAATTGATGGAACGGTTGCCGAGATACACCTACATATATGGTCATAAGAGTGCGGTGCCCCACCCATTTTTCAAAAATTTATTATAAACATATTTCTTGCTAAAGTTTCATTGCAAACATCAATTTCTAATAAATTCGCGACAGTATCGAAGTTTTCGTATTTCTCCAAATTACCGTAATATGGGTGGTTATTATCCGATATTGCCCATTCATCCTTTGCTCAAAAGAAACACACGTAACAATTTTCGTTAAGATATTTTTACAAGTATTCTGAGATAAAGCGCTTTCGAACTGGCTGCCGAGATAGGTCAACCTTCCAATCAGCCGTCGATTTAGTGTTCTCTCAGTGGAAATGTATTTTGCAAGCTTTTATTAAGTTTCACCTGTGTGTAATCAAATCTTGCAATAAATTTTTAACCAACTTCGCGATGAGATAGAAACTTGAAACTCCAAACTTGGGTCAGAACCCGATGACAATGCAATATTAAGGATGAGTTACTCCGGTAGGTTGCGCAGGTTTAGAGATATTTAAAAATCCCGTATTCATGGTCCGATATGGTTCATAGTTGGAATGAGTATTACTTAACTATATGAAAAGGAATAATCCCACAAAAAAATTTGCCCGTTAGGGGGCGTAGGAGTCGAGATATTTAAATAATCCATTTCTAGACTCCGATTTTATTTCATATTTACAACCTATAATACTTAAACAGAAATAAATTACTCAAAAAAAAAATCCCGTTAGGTGGTTCGGGATCGATTATTATTTTTCTATTAACTACTAACAAAAGCTTAGCTTGTCTTAAAAAAATTTGTTTACGCTAGTTAAATATATGATTATCTTAAAAATCGTCCTTTCAATTAATTTTACTTAATGGTGTATATTTTTTACCAAAACAACAAAAATGAATTAAGCGTTATCATCATTGGGATCATTGTACATCAACGAAGCTTATAAACGGAGTATCTGAATTTTACGAAATATCAATGAGTGGGCGCGAAGTGACATAAAAATTATACTTTAGATAGATCTCACAAAAATTCAAAAAAGTTTCATCATAATTTAAAAACTTTTGTCATAATACAGTTTCATAAGTAAAAACACTATCAGCTGATCAGCTGAGATCACCTGTTTTTTGGCATGTGCTCTTATCTTTTACAATTTCTTTCATTTATTTTACAATTTCTTTTATTTCTATTACAATTTATTCAAAATACACTAACACACTGAACCAAAAACACCAATACACTAACCAAAAACACACCTACAGCCTGCTAGAAAAAACGGTAAGAAGAAGAGTTACTTTACTTATGGAACTGTACGATGACTTTGTTCAGAATTTCTAGAAAATTTTCGAGTATGCAGTTTTGTAGCTCGTTCAATTTTAGTAAAACAAGGTTTAAGTCGCTAAAAATTACCGTTGATTTTTTAGATTTTTTTTTTTTTGTGGAGGTTATTGCGCGTTTATCGTGATAGATA